GTATCACCAACACACACACATATATATATATATATATATATATAGACACACACACACACACACACTCACACTAATGAAGGTAAGGTTTTGTTTATGTTTCTCTCAGTGTCTTACCACTTTGTGGCTAATGGCAATAAAATCAAAAATTTGTTTGTGTTTCTTCTTTTTTTTCAACTCTCAGTTATATATATTGATTTTTGTAATCTGTGTGGTAAGCCTGTTGAGTAAGAACATTATTTATGTGTCCAACATATAATAAGTGGTTTTGCATTATTAATATTAAAATAATTGCTATTGTGAGTTGAGTAATGTTTTTGTTTGAGAATCATCATCATAATTGTGGTTTCTGAATGATTTAATTTACAGTGATCCCCATCATAAATAACTTAAGACTTCTGTTGTTTGAATATTATACAGTAACCTGTAAAGTATTATTTTTATTTAACACTATTATAATCCCTGTTACAAACATGCTGAAGCAAAGTATTGTTTGTATGGTTAATTTTTTCCTTCATTTTCTTCTTTTTCCTTCTTATGGGCTTTGACCTTAAACTTTTTAGAAGAATGTTATTACTGTGGGAAGTTTCACATTTAACTAGTATCATTTTCAATGAAACTGTAAGTTTAAGTTCATGAAATATCATTATCTTATTATATAGTGGGTGCTAAAATGAAATTTGTTTGAAACTCACTAGTTGAATTTTTTTATTTTCCACCATATGTTGGAGAAAGCATTAAAAGATGTTTTTAACTTTGTAAAATTACACGTTTGTAAAATAGTTCCACACATACACACATGAAAAATAAATAAATAGGAGGCTTTTTGTGTATATTGTAATGTTTATGTACCCCAAATATAGGAACTTTGAATTATTATATCAAGTATTGTCACCATGACTTAATGAATACGATCGTTTTATTGAAGGGACTTAAGAAAAAGCTAGAAACAGAATTTGAATATGTACAACATTATGAATTAAATATAAATATGTAAAAATATTCCATAAATTTATACTTTATACTGTCAATTTTTCTTGAGATTAACATGCTTGCAATAACTCACAGTCTCAAATTTTTATGAGAATTTGTCTTTTTTTTTCTTCTAGGCTTGGCATAAGTGGAACCAGCATCTGGCATGAGTGATGTTTTTGTTGTTTTTTTTCCTGGATTAGCATCTTTACCACCTTGGGTTCCCTTTTTTTCCTGTAGATTTTTCCTCTGTATCCAGGTGGGGAACTCAAAAGACATTGTTTAGACTAATGAAGACAAATGCTTTAGGTTTTTGTGGAATTTAATTTCCTGCTGTGAAACTTCTTTACAGTTGTTATGAAGATATATATTAAAAGTTTAAAAGGATTTAGGTGTGGTTAAATATATTATATTGCTTGAAATGTTGGTAAATAAACTGTCAGAGATATTATTTCAGGTTGGATTGTACTTGAGAACTTGACCTACTAGTAAAAGTTTCCCACCAGTGAAGTTGTCATTGGTTCTTTATTTTCATGCTGTATATATATATATATACATATGTGTGTGTGTAGGGGATTAGAATAGCCTATATTTGCCCATTTATAAACAGGATGTCAATTCTGTGCTCATGTATCTATTCTCGGATTACAACAATAACTTTTTCTTACCAAACACAGCTATATACAAGTGTTTTTTTTGCAGTTTCATTACAAAAGTATTCTTAAATCTTTTAATAGAATAGCTCTTAAAAATAAATTTATCTGACTTAATTTTCCATTTTATTCATTCAAGACGTTGTTTATCTCTCTCTTGAACATGAATTTTAGCTAGAGCTTCTACAAGTTAAAGGGGACACTAAGAAACAGATTTTGTGGTCTGTTAATTTGTTTTAGTCATTTTAGAACAAAACATCAACATAGGTTAGTGTGCTTTAAGATGGATTGGCATATGTGGATTTTTGTGTTTATTACATTTGATGAAGGCAAATACATAATCTTACTTTAGTCAGTAACATCAAGCACTAATTTTGTAAAGCCTGTGGAATACTTTATTTATTATTAATATTTCAAAACTATACTTTAGAATCAAAAAATTAACATTGCCTTGTCTTCTTTTTAAAGAAACATGAAAAACTAGTTGTCCTGACTTCAATATTAACAGTTACTCTGCAAAACAGACACAAGGTATATAAACCTAATAATTATTAACATCTGAAACTTTACATAAAATTTATTGCTTTTAAATCCAAGAATTAACAAAAATTAATTACATTGTTTTCTAGAATTTACAGAAGCAGTGCAACATATTTAATTCAAGGTGGTGTCTTGGGTCTTACATTTATCATTCAAATTCCCCTGTAAGTAAACATCTTTGAAAGTCAGTCACTGTGCCATTATTT